GTAAAATTCGTTTTTTTGACTGCGTGGCTTGAAAAATCCTTTCAAATCGACCATCCGTAGTGTATTAGCATATGTACTTTACTTACAGAAAAGGACTTTTCATTCTACACAGCCAAAAAAAGTTAAGTGTATTTGAAAAAAATAGGTAAAACAGACCACTTTAGGATCACCTTAAGAAACTTTCGGGCTTCGCGAATAAAACTTTTAGAGCGTACAAAATTCATGCGGATTAGAATTTCCGGAAGCCTTTGCGGAATCTATCAAGCGTCACGGAATAAGAAAGAAGTGGAAGATTTGACAATTTCAATTCCACGCGTGAGGAGGCGCAAACTTGTCAAGTGCAGGTTAGGTTAGGTTAGGTTTTGAAGATCGCGTTTTGAAGAGACTCACCCGGTCCTGTCGCATCTGCAGGTGTAATTATTGACGCCGTCGATGCAGATGCCGCCGTTCTTGCACGGGATCGAGGCGCACTCGTTGACGTTGGTCTCGCAATTCTTTCCGGTCCAACCGGGCTGACACTCGCACTCGTACTCGTTGTCCGTCAGCGCTATGCAGACACCGTCGTTTCTGCACGGGCTCTGCTCGCACAGTCGCACTCCCAGCTGCGAGTCGCAGAAGTGCCCGGTGAAGCCGGCTTTGCAAACGCACTTGAAGTCGCCGCGCGCGTCTTCGATGCAGGTGCCGCCGTTGCGGCACGGTCCTTTCAGGCAGGGCGGACCTACGGCACGGGAGTCGCTCGGTTGATTATATTTTCGACAAGGAGAAAAAGAAGCGATGTTAGTTGCAATGATAATTTGATTAACTGCATGCGACGGAAAGTGAAGGAATCGCATTTTTGTAATTGTCATCGAATCGACCGAGCAACGAAATGTGGATGGAAAAGTGAAATTACGAAAGACGCGCAATACGTCAAGTGTATTCTGTACTTGGTTTGAGCAGAACGTACACAATCGCCGGCGTTCGTTTTCTTTTTATGCTCTGATGCTTACGTATTCAATTGTACAGTTTTAAAGAGACAACGTCGATAAGAGAAAAGACGACGAAAAATAATAGTTACTGACTGGGCAAGCGTAATTTTGAAGCAGAAGTCTTCTACGTCTAAAAGCAAAGTGAAAAGCGCTGCTACGTGCTTCTACATGTTCCAGAGCAGAACATATCTATCTTTATCTACGACATGCGAAAACTAGCGACGATACAAACTTCATACTCAACCAAACGATCAAATTAATTGTGCCTGATCTTCTGCAGACGTATTTACATAATTGTCAAACTCTGCATATGCATAATTATGATATTCAGTTGATAAACGAATTTAAATAGATGTATTGTTTTCAATTATTGAACTGTGCGCGTCGAGTATGAATCTGCTCGTCGCACACCGCGAATCGTCTATTCGAGATATCGATGAAGGTCTACCGTCGTCGATCTCGCAGTTGTTGCCGGAGTACCGGGCGTAACAGTGGCACTCGTAGCGGTCCTGCCTCGACACGCATTTGCCGTGCATCAAGCACGGTTCGTGGTGGCAGTTATCCACGGTGGGAACTGTGGCTGATCCTACGCCACCCGCCAGGCCGCTCGATCCACCTGAAAGTTTTCCGTCACAAAAACTCCCATGCATTCTCTCTCCCGTTCGTTCCACCTCTCATTCTGTCTCTCGATGCATCTGTGCATATACTTTTAGAACAGCAAACGTGTGTGCGCATCACTCGGAAAAATAATGTGCAACGCTACTTTGCACTCATGATCTACGAGTAAGGAGATAATGCGAAAGAATTGCAAAAAGTAAATGTTATAAAAGGAGCTGTTTTCATAAAAAAGGAAAAAAAAAACACGAAAAACAGAACAAAAAATTAGCTGAAATAAAATCTCTTCGTTCTTAATTCTGACAGATAAAATTTAATTATAAGTTTCATAATGAATATTTTTATATTAAAAATCAAAGGTAATTCAACAGACAAAAAATAGAAATAAGTGAAAATAATATCATCAAATAAAATAGACAAATTAAAAAATACGAAAATATAATTTTTCAAAAATAAAAAATAATTGAAACTAGCATAGAAAAGAATAATTTTATTGTTCGGAAAATAGTGATTAAATTTTTCAATAAAAACTTTTTTCTGTTTAAATGAAAGAATTTATGTTTTTCTATGTTTATTTTCTATTTATTTACGATAACTAATATTGATTCAATTTACTATTATCAATCGACAGTTGCTGCAATTTGTGAAAAAACTCTTCAATTTGTTTGCACTAGCGCGATATCGATTTTTCTCATTGCAACGTTATTACTCGACGCTCTAAGACCCAAGTAATTCTAAGCCTAAAGATGTTCTACTTATTCAGGTGACAACACCACGCTATCGATCTACCGCTTCATAATTTTACTCAAAGTTTTTCAGTGCCAGAATATTCAATAATGAATAATTTAGAAAAATTTGGAAACATTCGATTGGAGGAATTCTAATTCTTACATGCTTTATCCGACGGACAGGGCCCGAAAACGGCTCCGTTGTTGTTGCTGTTGTTGAAAAGAATTCCGGGCCCTTGTAGAATGCATCCTCTGAACCCTTCGCCGACTATGAGCGAGTTGTTCACATCGTAATCAGGAAGCGTCAGGATAGCGGAATTATAAGTCGCATTTGCAACTACCTGAAAAAACATGGTTGTACATCTGTTTAGCTTCAGAATTAAAATCGATCGAGCACTTTTTCATTCAAGTTGATTAATAATTAGATAAATTTAATATTTATTAAATATATTTCAGGAATATTATGTATTGTACTACCAAAAAAATGTCTAAAGTTCCACGTTTCGTGAATACAAAATTTTGTTTAATAAATTCATTTGTTCCCCAAAAAGCGTAGTAAAATACGTTACAATATGTTATTATATTTCTAATATTAAAATCCTTTACAATTTTTTAATTATATGTGCCGGTGATTATGAAAGTGGACTGAATCATATATTTGATAATTTTTCATTTTGAGATACTTCGACTTTATAGATCGATACAAAATAAATGATAAGATGAATTTTTCAAAATTTTCGACTTACTGTTAATCGACTTTCATAACCGGCACATATGTGAAAATAAGTGAAAAAGTAAGGTTAAACGTTCGAAGAATCAAATCCTTCGGAAAAGTCTCTTTACTTTTTCACTTTTTCTCGCGTGTCGCTTATTGTTATTTGCCACGCACACACGCACGCATGCACGCAAGCCCCAAACACATCGTGTATATATACCTGGGTGTGCCCTGCGGCGTTCAGGGTGAGATTGCCGAGCCTGAAAAACAAGTTGACGCTGTGCCAGGCGTTGTTGAGCAGCCTAGCGTTCAGCCTGGCCCGGTACCGCTGTTGATCCACCACGGCCACGAAGAGCAGTCCCTCGGGCGTGACCTCGAGGCTGATCGAATCGTCATTGTATTTCTGCAGGAACAGTCGGCCGGGATCGCACGTGCGGAAACTGAGACCGCTGTGGCGATGCACGGACACCGTTGAGCTCAGCTTGAGGAACGCCGAGCCATTGAAGTAGGCTTCGCGAGGATGCTCCTCGTACCTTCGACGTCTGAGGTCCTGGGGTGCCCCCTGGATGACGACCAATAGGGTGGTGAAGACTGCGAACAGGAAGGAAACCACGTTAGATAATTTTACGCGAGATCCTTGGAGTCTGAGAGCGCTTGTCTAATGTTACAGTTAGTTTCCATCAATTGTAGATCATTGATCGCACGGTTCATTGATCTTACGGGTCTTGAATTCCATTGATCCTTCCACGTTTATGGGAATTCTAGATCTTCGAGGATATTTCTCGAAATGTTATGAGTTTTGGCTTCGAGATTATTGAGCGAGAGATATCATGTTTCAGTAACAAGATCCGAAATCTTGGTTCTTTACATAATTTTGACGTTATTTATTATAAGCTCTTTTAGAAATTCTGAATTCTAGAAAAATATTCTAGAATTTCAATCATTTTTTGTTATTGTAATAAACACTTTTTTTAAAGCCAGCTATCGTCGGAGATAAAAAAATGTCGAATAATATGAATCTCTGAATAATAAATAGCAATCGTAAATATCATTAATTCGATAATTAAAACAGGTTTGTTAAACATGCAAAAATCCTGTGCGGATAAAAGGCTTAAGAATCGTTATATAAAACTTGATTTTCTCTTACAGCATTTTTCTTTCTCGTGATATTATACGGAGATGAACTCTTTGTATTAAAGTCCACTTATAATCTCAGTTATCTCGACAGTGTTCCGGACACGTAAAGAGAATTGGAGAGAAAAAGGGACAGAGTGGTTCACGCGAATATGCTCCAATTTTCGTTATCTCCTACCGGCCGCAATATACCACGAGATAAGAGCTGACACATGCATTATCGACGAGAGGATTTAATCCTTTCGCTCCTACTGCAGTCGCGATCAGTGGACGTACCTTCTTCTCTCGCAGTTGTAAAGAGACATAGCTTTGTAGAATCATTCTAGAATTCTCCCACGCGTAAAAAATATATTACGCCCTTCGTTAAGATTATTTTAGAAGACCGATTTTTAGAATACACTTTTATCATTAAACATTTATATTTGTAATGTATTAATAGTTATAACGAGACACGATAATTAATCATTTATATTATATTTACTATAAAAAATCGATATTTATTGGAGATAAATTGAATTGCAGATGAATAGAAATGTATTCGTCAAAAGTTAATCTTAGAAAGTAATTCTGAAAAGGTGTTTTTTTAATAAATAGAGATCCGGCGTTAAAAGGGTTAAACGCGTGGGTGAGAGAGAATGCATTTTTAAAGATGTAATTTTCATCCTAAACGACGAAGGTCACTTTCTGAAAAGTGTCTTTCTCTCCTGAAAGATTCACGAGATTGTTTGATTATTATTGCACGCGAAAGAATTATATTTGGAACAAGGAAAGTCTCGTTTTAATCGATTGATCGCGTAACGAAACAGAATCGACCGAATAATATTCCTTTGCGATTGAAAATGCAGATTCAAATCACGCCTGAGATCAAGCTATCGATCTACAGATCTCATCTTTCGGGAGGAGCTAAAATTTTATGGGAAAGCTTGAAGTTGAATAAAATTAACAAAAGGAAAGGAAAAGTAAAGAAAAGATAACTAAAAAAAAAATTAAATTATATATAAAATTAAAAAAAATTAAAATCTGATATGAAGTAATAATTAATAATCACTCATTTGTTATATAATTGCGTTATTTAACATATTAATTTCAATTAAATATATTGAAAATTCTTTTAGCTTTTTTTATTTTTTTCTAAACTAGATAAAGTCGTTTGAGTCACTTGCGAATGAGTAAGGCTTGTCTACGAGAAAATTTATCACTGCACACACGCACACGGCGAGTTACATAACGCCTCTCTTCGCGCAATTATCTTCAAGGATAAACTTTTATAATTTTGTCGCGATCGTTTACGCTTACGCGTGAGAAAGGACTCTCGCTCGTGTTCATTCATGCGCGTATCTTGAGTATGCAACCTTGGTCTCTATTGTCACACATCCTTGATTACAAGAATTTATATTCTTGTGTAGACCTCAAAATTTCCTTAGTATGTAAATTTCGTACCAAAACCTTAATATCTGTATTTCGTGATTTTTTGATGTTTCCATTAAAATTTCATTAATGTTTGATGGCAAAATTCAATATAATTATCATATTGTTGTCGTGGCGTTCTCGATTATACGGATTTTGATCGACCCAAGGTTGATTAATGACGTCATTGTATCGTCTCCATCAATAAAAGACATGAATTCATAGTAATATAGTGATTGATCAACCTTGGATCGATCAAAATCCATATAATCAAAAACGCTATAAAAAGTGCTACTGAAATTGTTTTCTTTATATTAAGGGGGAACACCAGGGTGACGGCCGAAAAAAAAGGCTATTTTCGTGAATTTTTTTTTCATTATCTAATAGTTTGTTTAATTTATAAACTATATATGTTAAAAGTACATACTTATATTATGTTACAAAAAAATTTCATAAAATAATATTCATATTTATAATAACTATGTGATTGATGTGCACCTCGTCTGAAAAAACATGGGTGCACGGGCGCTCGTGCTGCATCTGAACGGGAGCTCTGAAATAAATTTTTTAAATTGTGATTTAAAGTATATGAATGTAGTTTTAGTTGCACGTACGGATTTTTTAATAAAATAATTTTTGACAAAATGGCACTGTTTAAAAAAAAAGTTTTCAATTTTTCAACAAAAATTCGTTACTTCTTTAATTGTTTTTCAAAAACTAATAATCCGATTGAAAAATCCGTACGTGCAACTGAAGACAATTTTGTTGTGAACATTCTGTCCAAATTTCAAGTTATTCGGATAAAAATTGGCCGAGATATGAGAGCGCCCAGTTACGAAAACGTGGTTTCGAGAAAAACGCGTTTAAAGTTTTACAACTAATTGGTTCATATAAAACGATAAAATTTTGTAACGAACCAAAGTGCGTCCAATCCGGGTGCATATGAAGTGCCTTCTGAAGCAATAGAACTCAAGCACGTAGACAACAAAGAATCCGCTAAACTCCCTACACAATCAAGGGGACTGCCGAATCTTTTCAGGTAGCGCGCGGCCGGTTCTACTAGCGGCATCTGACCAAGTTCTACTCTATGACATATTTACTATAGTTCCGTTACGAATTTCACCATAATATTATAGGGACATATTTTTAAGACTCCAAACATCACAAAAATGCAAAAAAAAAAATCGATTTTTTGAAACCGTCACCGTGGTGTTCCCCCTTAATTTTT